TGTTTTCAACATTAAAGCTGTGGCCATTGCCCCCCCCAAATTGCCTAACCCATCATGAGCATCCTTGTTCTGGATTGAATTTTGGAATGGTGATGGGGACATCCTGTGTTTGAAGAAGGTTTATTGAATGCTGGTGTTCCTGTGTTTTGTGTCCCATTGTGATTGTCGGTTTGTTATGGCTTCCTCTTAGAAATATTAGTTTGGGGGAGGGGAGAGGGAGAGAGAGAGGGGGGGAGGGAGGGAGGGAGGCAGAGCAAATAGTTTCACCTAGCCAAAAAGAGAGAAAGGATCTTCCAGATGCCTGCATTAAAATATTCTCTGTCAGTCCATGAGCTGTCCCAAGAAGCGTGCCAGCACAAACTGTGCTCCCCCATTTTGCCCCAATAAGCAAACTGGGGAATGGAGCTGTCCTTAGAGACAAGGCTTCATTCCCCACCCTGTAGGTGCCACATGCTAGTGGCAAAAAGACTATCGCCTGCTCTTCTTCTTTTTTTTTTATTAAAAAGTTTTTTATTTATAATACAATTAAAACAAAAATGGACATANCTGTCCATCTCTGCACATGATAAAATTTTATACAGGATTTCTTCTTCCGTTGGAATTCCCTTATTCCTCCAATTTTGAGCATAAACCAATCTGGAAGCCGTTAGAATGTGTAGCATCAAATAGAGTATGCCTTTGTCATACTTCTGCGTTGTTATACCTAATAGGAAAAATTCTGGTTTTAACTCTACCACTCGCTCTATCACCTGCTCTTCTTAACAGGAGGTGCGGATAGCTGCGGTCAGAGGATGGTAGGCAAATGCTAAGAATGGCAAATTTAGGCACTTGCAAAGTTGCTTGTTTGAAGGGTGGCAAAGCACTTAGGAGAGGGGGGGGGGTTTCTTCTGCAGGCTATGCAGGTGTACCTTCCAGCCTTCTCAGGTCATCGATACATTCACCCAGGAGTGTCTGTTTACCCTTTTCTGCCAGAGGTCCCTGCCACATTGCAAGAGGGCAGGTCAGAATCTTGTAAAGCAGAAAAGCAAATTAAATAAGTAGGGGGAGGAATTACCCAGTTGTGTGCTGTCAAAGAAAAGCCTCTTAAAAGAACGGAGAGTTCTTTGTCTTGGCTGGGCCCTGGCAGTGATGGGTCTCACCCCACCAACATTTGGGCAGTGAATTATTCAGGGGGATTGAAACTCTGCACCAGGCAGCCGGTATGCCGGACGTTTAGGAAGGCCAGTCTGTATAATGCAATATACATGGAAGTGTATGAAAAAACCCCTATTTCAGATGAAACAACTAAGGCCAGCCTTCTCTAGCCCACACCTCCAAATGTCTTGTATCAACTCTCATCAACACCAGTGAGCGCAACAATATTCATAGATTGTAGCTATTGTGGCTCAAAATATTGGAAGGCCAATGCTGTGCGATCCACTTGGCTATTTTCATTACAGTCCTGGGGAAATGCTTTTAATGTTAACATAGGAAGTCCTGTTTGATCCCCTTTTCTTCCTCATTTTTGTCTCCCTCTGGAGCAGCTTTGCCTCAACTTTTTCTCCCAGGTGACCATAGCTCTTTGAGTTTATTTACGAGCCAGGATTCTTTTACCCTCTGTTATTTAGTTTTCTGTATCTTGGATACCCATTCCTGATAAAGAAGCTGAATTTCTATTGTGGTTTCTGGGAATAGCTGAGTGGCACTGGTTTTACCACTTGCCTCTTCACTATGCAACATGAGGAAATAAAAGAGGGAAGCCAAGCCAAGTTAAGAGGGCGACAGATTTAACCTCTCTTTGCCCAAATGGAAAATAATGGGGGCATGTTATTGCTCCTAACAAATTCACTTATTAATTATTTTGATTCTTAAGGAATCCATATATTATATTTCCATATTAAGGACTGGAATCTCTGTTCCAGTTCTATATTCTCTTTTTCCACATCAAAGCCGTATGCACACTCAGGGACATTGCAACCCAGTATGCAAATTGTGTGCCACACGAGGGTGTTATGTGGGAGGGCCCAAGTTTAAAACAATAAATAATGACCGAGTGTGCATGTACACAACTGGAATATTTTTTTTTCAAAAAAAATATATTGATTGGTGGGCAAGTGTGCACGTGCATGGCTAGAATATTTCAAAAATATTTCGGATGGATGTTAAGTGGAATTCTGCAGAAAGGCGCTTTGTATGCCATTTGTGATTGTCCCAGTTGGCTTCTGACAAGCATGGGGGAAAGCCGGATTTGTTTAACAAACACAATTTGCTTAACTAGAGTGATTTGCCTAAACAACCGTGGCAAAAAGGTTGTAAAATTGGACATCTCACTTAAAAAACACCATGCTTAGCAATGGAAATTTTGATCCCAGCTGTGGTTGTAAATTGTAGTCAGACCCCTGATTTGAAAGAAAAGCAATCCAGAGAATTGCTATGGCAGACAACAGATCTCTTTCACAAGGCTGCTGTAGTTGTATCTTTAACCCAGCCTTATTTTCAGATCTTACCAAATAAATATATTATCTTCAAACTGTATAGAGCAGAGCTTCCCAACTTGGATCAGACAACAGTTCTTGCCATCATAACTTCCAACTCTCCACTCAGGAATTGACTAGGAATAACAGAATGGCAGACTTTGAAAGGACCTTGGGGGTCTTCTAGTCCAACTCCCTGCTCAAACAGAAGACCCTGTATCATTCCAGACAAGTGGCTGTCCAGCCTCTTCTTAAAAGCCTCCAGAGATGGAGCACCCACAACTTCTGAAGGCAAGCTGTTCCATTGGTTCCACTTAGTAAATGTGGTCTTACTAAGACTTTACAAAGTGATAATAATACTACACTTGATATTGATTCCATCCCTCCGTTAATTGGCTCTTTTGGCGGCAGCTGCACACTGCTGGCTCATACTTAAGCGATTGTCCACTAAGACAGAAAAGATCCCTCTCATATTTATTACTATCGGTATTGAGCAAGGTTTCACCTATACATTTGGGTTTTCTTGCCTAAGTGTAAGAACTTACTTTTGTCTACACTGAATTTCATTTTGTTGGATAGGCCCCAGTAAGGCAGGAGGACCTGGGTCATAGAGCGAAACGTGAAACTTAAATGCATGTATTACAGTCATAAGACAAGACATGAGTTATAAAGAGGAACATGAGTTCTAAATAAGTGTATTAGTTAGAAGGAGAACAAAAGGAAATGGAAAGATGTCAAGCCCCAGGTTCAATTGTTGGTCGCACAAAGGTGTCAGAATTGCTGCTCGGCTCAAGCTAACCACATAGGTCTTTATGTCTCATCTATAGCTAACCACAAGTATGCAAGATATGTTAGCTACGGAAAGGGGGGCTGTATGCTGTAAGGGGGCTGTGATTCGAAACAACCAATCCATGTTATCAGTTACATTTCCGTGTTTTGCTGTTTCTGACGAGAATATATAAACTTGTGTTTTGTTATGAAAAGCTGTTCAGGTGTGGCTACAAAGATAGTGCTCTGAACCTTTGCGCAAATAAATCAACTTCTTTTGATTCCGTGGTCTGAGTCCTGTGATTTTCTGCAATCCCAGTGTTCAAGTCTGTTGAGATCCATCTGGATCTTGGGCCTGTCTTCTGTGGTGTTGGCTATTCCTGCCAGTTGAGTGTTGTGTCTGCAGATTTGATGAGTTCCCCTTCTATTTGTTATTTTGCTGCCCCTTTAGGGAGAAAGGAACTTCAAGGGGCAAGGAAAGGAGGGAAGGGAGGGAGGATTTATCCCGTTCCTATCTTGGGGTAAAGGGAAAAGAAAATAGAAGTAAACTACTACTTCAGAACTGAAAAACTGCTGGTAGTAACCAGGGTCACTTGGCATAGAAAATAATGTCTGTTTGCTGCCATATAATGGTTCCCTTGATCTGTGCAGTCCACTCTTAAGCCATACAAGCTGCTGCCAGATTCACTGTGGCAAATCAGACATTTATGGTACCTTCTGCATGCAAAGATGGTGAAGTCTGCAGGCTCTGAGACCAAACTTCACCTGGGAGGAGCTTCTACTCATAGACGGAGCCAATACAAATGTGATGGGAGTAAAACAAGTGTGTTGCAATTATGAAGATATCAGGTCAGCATGAAACTTCCTCTTAATGTTACCAAGAATTCGTACACTAGTAAAATTATTAATACAGGCTGCATGTCTTCCCCCCCCCCCCACTCATACAGTATATGCCTGTTCAGCATTATACATTTCCTTTTTCATAAGAAGTAATCTTTTGGGCAAAAAAATCAATATTTTTCTTTGCCAAAATATAAAACAGAGACAATAGTAAAAATGCTGAGGTAACTGTATTTCCCTTTGTATGTCAGTGTCAGATAGTTCATCAGGAGGCTAAATTTCCGTTAGTTGACAAATTCCAAGCAGGTCAGGGTTGTAAAACCCTTCCTGTCCATATCTAAGGACTGGCAGATTTCTGTTAATGGCAGAGAGGAATCTTCCAGATGGAAAGTTCAAAAAATACCGCGTAAAATGGGACAGTGACTTCATCTTTCCATCATTAACGGATTCTTCTCTTTGGAAAAAAAAATAGATGGAAGAAGCAGTGGGAAAGTACAGAAGGGTCTCACGTGGAGGACAAGGACATTTTGATGCTCTGTAAAATGTTGTGAAGGAGGCAGAACGATGGTATAATTGAGGTCTCCTATGGAAGCCCTGATTTGTGGGGCATCTAAAGATCAGCCAGACTAATTACAGCAGTTTTGAGTTGATCAGAGTAGAAGTTTCATTGGAGGCAGAGAGGCTATTTCCTGTTACTGCATTTTAGAATATTGACGATCTTATATACTGTGCATGCACTGTTTCTTTCTGTGGACACACACCAGAACTCCCTTGCAACATCCCTGCAAACTGTCCACTGTCCCTGGCCAGGACTGGCCCTGCCCCTTGCTATAGTATAGAGGCTTCCCAAAAGAGAGATCTTAAAACCTCAAGATGTCCCACCTACCAGGGTGGAGTCACACCCTTGCTGCTCATTTAAAAGCCTTTCCATTGTTCTCATGCTTCTTCCTGGAGTGAGAACTCATGATGGGGACTCTGGGGTGGAAGAGGCTGCAGTTCCTCGTGATAGTATGCTGGTTTTTTGTGAGCCTGGAAGTTCCTACAGGTAAAAGGGGAGAGGGAAGAGAGGTCAGGGGAAGGGTTTTTATATAATAATAATAATAATAATAATAATAATAATAATAATAATAATAATAATAATAATAATAATAATAATAATAATAATAATAATAATAATAATAATAATAATAAAAAAAAAATAAAAAAATTGGAAGGGACCTTGGAGGTCATGTATCCAACCCCCTGCTCAGGCAGGAAACCCTATACCATTTCAGACAAATGGCTGTCCAGTCTCTTCTTAAAAACTTCCAGTGTTGGAGCATTCACCGCTTCTGGAGGCAGGTTGTTCCACTGGTTAATTGTTCTAACTGTCAGGAAGTTTCTCCTTAGTTCTAGGTTGCTTCTCTCTTGGATTAGTTTCCATCCGTTGCATGCACCTGTGACCTGTATCTTTAACATCACATTCAGAAATTAAGCCCCTTACCCTATTCTTTTCCATCCTTGGGGGGAAAACTTTATATCTATGTACCGCCAGCTAACAGAAGCACAGGAACAAATCCAAGTTTTAAAAAGCAGCAGCCCCGATGACACTTTGCACTGGTTACTAGTTTTCAGTTGCCATAGCAGAACTGGTGTACTTTGGATTAGTTCCATTGAAGGCGGGGCTTCAACCAGTGTTTCCTCCTATACAGCTCCTGCCTGATATGCACCTGTTAAATAGAGGGAGAAAGGAAAGGAAAGGAAAGGAAAGGAAAGGAAAGGAAAGGAAAGGAAAGATTTATGTGGGGGGAGTCCTTGGTGCTTGGTGCTCTCTGAGCTTGGTTGTTTTCTTGCAGATGTTTCATTACCAAACTAGGTAACATCATCAATGCTAGAGATGTGCTGCTGTTACCTAGTTTGGGTAATGAAACATCTGCAAGAAAACAACCAAGCTCAGAGAGCACCAAGGGCCCCCTCATTTCAACCCTGATCTACAAATATGCTCCTTTAAAGATTTATTGATACCCCACCTTTATTATGTTTATAAATAATGAAGTTGTGTTATTTTCTCCACAACAATAACCACCCTGTGAGGTAGACTGGGCTGAGAGTGACTGGCCCAAAGTCACCCAGCCCACTTTCATGCCTAAAACAGGACTAGAACTCATGGTCTCCTGATTTCTAGCCTGATGCCTTAACCACTAAACCAGGGGTAGGCAACCTTGGCTCTTTTATGACATAGCTGGCTCAGGAATTCTGGGAGTTGAAGTCCACGAGTCATAAAAGAGCCAAGGTTGCCTATCCCTGTACTAAACCAAACTGGCTCTCTGTTCAAAGTAGAATGCTTTTTGGAGGGTAACTTAAGCCTGCAGGAATGAAACTTAGGCTAAAAACCACAGTGAAAAATATTCCCATGGAACTTGAGATGTCACCTCCAGTTGCTTCCCACGGATATATTGACTCTTTTTAAATCTCTTAAGAAATTGGATTAATAGTTTTAGGTGAGACTGATTGCTGCCCAGGCAGAATCGATGCAAAATCTCTTTAGAAGTACATAGTTATTTAAATATCTATTTTTAGTGTAAAAAATCTGTAAGGCAATCATATCAGTTGTTTTAGACTGCTGTATCTGCACAGGCACTGAAACTGAAAAATAAGACAAATTATTCTGAATTATTATCTGAAATATCTAGAATTGTAGCCAAACTTTGTACTATAGCAGTGGCAATTAGATTTTCTGAACTTGGCTACTTGCCTAGGGATGCTTAGCTGAGCCATAAATATTTTTTTAACAAACACACCTATTATGCACTTTTTTTTGCTTTTTAAATTTTTGTGTGTGTTTGGTCTGAGATCATTATGATCTATATTTTAATAGGCTAAAGTAACAGATATGGAAGAGAGTTTAGACAATATTAAGAAAGGCTTTTGTCTGTGAATGGAAACCTCCTTATATAATGTTATTTTTTTAATATGATATTTATTGAAGGTTTTTGGAAAAGGAAGATAGAAACTAATAGAAACTAATATAAAGTAACAACAAGAAAAGAAAAAGAAATAAAAGAGAAAGCTAAAAAGTATAAGAAAGGGAGAAAAAGTAAAAGTAAAATAAAAAAGGAAATGGTACAAAGAAGTAGTTTCTGATTTTATAGCAGATATAAGTACAATCCTTACCACTTTCTATAGAGTAATGGTCTCCAGCCTTGGCAATTTTACGATTTGTGGACTTCAACTCTCAGAATTCCTCAGCAGCCACAAATTACTTCTTTCAATCCTGTCTAATCATCAAAACATAAACCGTAAGGTCATTTTCCCTGGCATTAGGTATGCTTCGTAATTTCTGCCAGTCAATATTCCTTGGCTGATGGGATCCAGAGCATGCCCATCCAACTGACCAAATTGGATGGGGAGAAACAACTAGGAGAAGATGGTCCCTGAGGTAACCCAGTCCCAAGCCATGAAGGGCTTTAAAGAAGACAACCAGCACCTTGAATTGCACTCAGAAGCACATTGGCAACCAATCCAACTAAAAAAAAAAGGTGTTACATTTGCCAAGTATCTGATACCATTTGCTATCCATCAATTTTTCATCAATTGGATTTTCAAATGCTCTTCAAGGGCAGCCCCATGTAGAGCAGGTTGCTATCACCTAGATGGCAAGTCACGAGGGCATGAGTGACAGCAAAACCAGGAATGGCCACAACTGACACGCAAACAAAGGGCGTGCAAAAGCCCTCTTAGCCATGGCTACTACTTGCTCTTCCAGTAGAAGCTGTGAGTCCAAGAGGACCCCCAGATTGTGCACCAGTGCCACGCCATTGAGGAGCAAAGATAGAAAAACCTTGACACTGGAAGGCATAAATACCCAAACCTCCACAGTCTTACTTGGATTGACCCAAAGCCCATTGTGCCCCATCCAGGCCCCATGCAGCCTCCAGGCACTGGGACAGGACATCCACAGCATCGCTCAGGCAGCTGGGGTGGTAATAGAAAGTTGGGTATGATCAGCATACTGATCACTCTAAACTGTCAAAACACCTCACCCAGCAACCTCATGTAGGTTTTAAATAAGAAAGAGGACCAAGCCCTGCAGCACCCCACAAAGTAGGAGCTGTGGTCTGGACATCCTCCTCCATCAACAGCAGCTGGAATTGACTTAAGAAAAAGGAAGAGAACCAGTGGTGGGATTCAGCTGGTTCGCACCAGTTCGGCAGAACTGGTAGCTAATTTTTTGTTGCCCAGGCCCAGAACGGATTTCTGGAAGTGGCATCCACACAGACAATTGGCTGTTCACATATTTGAATCCCACCACTGAGTGTCACCCACTCCCAAGTTCCAAAACTGCTTCAGAAGGACACCATGATCAACGGTACTGAAGGCCATTGAGAGGTCAAGAAGAGCAAGGATGGATGCACTACCCCTATCCTTCTCTCCAAGAATGTCATCCAAGAATGTCATCAATGCTGTCTCAGTCCATACCCTGGCCTGAATCCTGTTTATTTCATTCAAAATAGCCTGCATTTTTCTTGATTTTTCTAATTTTGCTATCATGTTATACAAGCTAACCTCTCATTACTGGCATGCAGCCAAACCATTCTTAAATCAATACATTTACATAAACTATTTTTGACTTTTAATTTCTTTTTACTTTCTTCTTCTTCTTGTGCCATATCTGTTATCGGATGTTGGCGATCATGTTGGCGATCCTGTTTTTATCAGCAGTCGCACGAAAAAGTGCTGTTGAGTTTTGTCCAAACCAGTCCTTTAGATTGCTTCTTTCTATGCCAACATTTTATTTAGTCTCCATCTAAAAGAATTAGATTTTCTTATCAAAACCAAACTCACAGGATTATGATCTGAAAAACTCTTCATAATATCTCTATTTTAGAAACCTTAGTAGCCAAATTCTTGGAAATTCAAATTATGTCTTTTATTGAAAAGGATTTATGTCTTTCAGGAAAATAGGTATTTTCTCCTAAACTGCCATTTTTCTGTCTCCATATATCAACCAGCTCTATGTTGTCCATCAAATAATAATAATAATAAAAAACTTTTGATAATTTGCCTAGAGTAACCTTAATATTTTCCTCAGAATTTCTGTCCAGTTGTGGGAAATTGCTACACCCCAATTCCCCATACAACATGTGTATAATGTTAGATAGAACTGTAGGATTTCATGTTAATTGGAAAGGCTCTCTAGTAGTTCAACTAATATAATTGGTAAAAGTCTGGCAACTCACTCTATTTTAAAGGTTAGTTAAAGATTATTTAATCTAATTCTATATTGGGTAATTTTATTATTTATTATTTATCGGGTTTACAGTTTATGAGGAGCAGCGCAATGGCTCAGTAGTTAAGATGCAGGGCTTGTCGGCTGGAAAGCCAACAGCCCGGGTTTGGGACTGAGCGCCACATGGATGGGGTGAATTCCATTACTTGCCCCAGCTCTTGCTCACCTAGCAGTTTGAAAGCAAGCAAATGTGAGTAGATAAATAGGTACCACTTCAGTGGGGAGAATGACCACGGAAGGGTCTTCGGAGAGCGCTGGCTCACAGCCTTGAAATCGAGATGAGCGCTGCACCCTATAGTTGGCAACAACTAATGGAGTAAAATCTGCAGGGACTCCTTTCTTTCCCTTTCCTTACAGTATACACCACTGGAGCCAACAGAAATTACTCTTGACAATAAACAGTATAATACACTATGAAGTTCTTATGAATATTTATTTTTTGATTGCGACATTAGCATATAGCCTTCCAGCAAACAAATCATAAGTAGTTAAAGTAAGGATATCACAATGATAAAAATTACAATCCAAACCCATTATTTGAACATTATCTGTTTTTTGAACATTATTTGTAGAAGAAAGTCCAATTAACAGGAACTAAAAAGATAAGTGGGTGTGTTGTGTTGGTAATGAATTACAAACTTCTGAGAATATAAAAACCTGGTGCAAAAGTGTAAACTTCCTGCTTTTGATTCAGAAATATATTTTTCCCGTGTTGCTTTTTTTTATTGAATGCAAGCTCTCCTCTTTATTGTCTTGTGTTATCAGGCAACTGTCAACAACGTAGAATTAGGATTTATAAATTGTACTCTGGAGCTAGCTTCCATAAATCCCACCTCGAGATCTTCACCATCAGAAATAAAATAAAGCATGATGAGGTTTCATAGATCAATGTCTGCTTCCTTAGGCACATGAAATGTTACCCTTGCTCAGCTGACAAGGGGAAGGGGAACAACGGATGCATTGCAGAGACATGTAAAAAGCGCAGTTGGTGAGCATTCATTAAAACTGAAACATCATAGCTATCAAACGCCTGATCACTGCAGGAATGAGGGCAACTGTGATTCTGCTAAGAAGACCCTAATCTGCCTCAGGCAGGTGGAGAAGGAAAGATAGAGGACAAGGAGCAGAGATCTTCTGGTCCATTTAAAAAGAAAGGCCCAAATGGTGTAGTTTGGAGCGGTTGAGACTAACCATCATTTAAATCCCCCCAAGTACTCAGAAATGTTCCTATCTTAGTATCTTCTGGGAACTTAAACATGTTCAGCAGTTCGAGACGATGGTGATAACTGGAGGGTAGGGAGCAGTAACGGTAGACTTTCCCTTCAGAAGTTCTTCCTAGACCTCCTCTTTTGCTTGGAGAACAGAATGGGTTCTGCCCGTTGGCCTTCCAGTGCCCCACAGGGCAGTTTTTCAGCCTTTAGATCGGCTTGTAGGACACCATCCCATCACCAGAATGGACAGAAAATTCAACAGCCAGTCAAGCAGGCTCCCAAATGAGAAGGTTTTTATATCCTCTTCTGCAACTATGCCTCTTGAATCTACTCCTTCATTCATAACAAATCTGGTCCTTTCTGTTTGGTAAAGCAAAACGTGAGGCCTTGGGTTATTCTCCACATTGATAATCTGGATGTCTATGGAGAGCAAGATCCAATCTGGCTCACACACTGGGATCGCAGAGGTTTTGCCTTCTGAGCTTTTGGACACGTGCCGGAGCCCCGAGAGAGAAGTTCCCTGAGAGATAGGCTCCAGCACAAATCCGAAAGCTTGGAAGGCAAAAACCTCTGGTCCCGGTGACTGGCCCAGATTGGATCCTGCAACGTTATTGTGGGACACGTATATTTGCCTTCCTTCGCCCATGGAGAGCATTCAGATGGGACTTGTTCCCTTGTATTTTTTATATGTCTATTTTATTGGTGTCCTAGGTAAATTGCTTTTTAAAAATGCAGGTATTTGAGCAAAACTGACACTATTGGTTTTGAATGCCTAACTGACTAAGGGACTAATTGCTATTGCGGACAAATAAATGCTCATGTTGAGTATAGTTATGAAAGGTAGAAAAAGGGAAATGAAACAATCACTTTAAGAAACAAGCATCCTCTCAGCTTTCTGATTTTTATTTTGCTGTCCCCTCCTGTCTCTTACATCTTCCTCTGGACTGTTCTCATGTGGATAAAAATGTGTATCTCTGGGAAGTGGCTCTCTGTTTGATCTCAGCTGATCTAAACTGGGCTCCCTTTTTCAGAGGCTCAGAATATTCTGTGCTACAAAATCTTTGACGAAACCTCAGGGACCTGCAGGAACCTATTGGGAGGTGGAATTTTTCAGGAAGACTGCTGTCTAAACCATCAATATGGTTTCCAGGCGGCTCCACATGAGCCCTGCCAGTCCTGCCGGTAAGTGAAAACCCAACAGTTCTAATTAACTACATTTTTGGCATGTGCTGCACAAATGGTCCTAAGCCTCCTTTCTTTGAACCCTCCAAATATTGTTTGAGTGCTGGGCATCTTCCCTTAGGATTGCTTATCCCATCTCCTGTATAGGAAGAGAGGCTATAGGGTAGCCGCAGGTAGTATGCATATCGCAGCATGCCGTTCTCAACTGCAACCCTGCTGTCTCCAAGCAGGGCTAAATAAGTTTCTACCCAAAGATTCAAAAGCTCCTATTGGTCACTGACAACAATATTCCATCACGTGCTCCATTGACAGAAGTGTTTAATTTATACCCAGGCTTCCTGTTTATACTTGAACCACCATTAAGGGCAACTTATTTAAGAGCCCTGGTGGCAAAGTGATTAGAATGCAGTATTGCAGGCTAACTCTATCTACAGTCTAGAGTTCGATCTTGACGGAGCTCAAAGGTTGACTCAGCTTTCCAACTTTCCAAGATTGGTGAAATGAGCATCCAGATTGTTGGGGGCAATATGCTGAGAGTGTAAACCAGACATGTCAAACACAAGGCCCAGGGGCCAGATGTGGCCCGCGAAGTGGTTTCATGTGGCCCGCGAAGCCATGCTGGAAACAGTGAGGGAACGGCCCCCGCTGCCTTGGCCCTGGCCCAGGCCGGCCGGGAGCCAGTGTACAATTTTGTGACGACCATCTATGCCGAAATGCATTCAGTCTTAGCTCCATAAGGCCATCCAGAAACAGCGAGGAACCAGCCCCTGCCGTGTTGGCCCCACCCCCTGGGTGCATGCTGGGGAGGTGTCACCCTTTGTGAGGAATGAAGAAATGCACCATGCCTTGGCGCTTGCCCCGGTCCCACCCCCTTCTGCCAGAGACCCTCAGATCTGTCCCACTCCTGCCCAGACCCTCACAGGCACCCTTGACGCGAACGACGTAGAGCTGGCCATGCCCACCCAGTAGGCCACACCCACCCTGGCCACACCCACCTGGCCCCCCAAGGGCAACCACAATGCTGATGCGGCTCTCAATGACACCCCTGGTGTAAACCACCCAGAGAGTGCTGCATAGCACTGTGGGCCGGTGTACAAGTCTAAGTGCTATTGCTATTATTTCAATAAAAATGTGGAGTATAAACCGTAACAAGAATATTGATGCAGTTAGAATCAAAACCCAAATTAAAATCAGTTATTAAAATTAATTAAAATGGTTAATTTAAACTTTGATCTGTGTCCATGAATCACGCTAAGCCAGGGTTTTTAAACGATGATTTACTGAAGCCATTATGAGCCACAAGTATCTGTAAACCCAGACTGTATAAGGCAGTTTCCTACATTTCAATATATTTTTATTTAATATATTTTCGTACTTATAACTTCCAGACTTTTTTTTTAATTCTCCCTGCCTGTTGTTTTATCTAGCACTGGATTTGGTTAATACATTGATCAATATATTGCTTTCTCTACGTCTGAGTATAGAGAAATACCTAGAGAAACAAAACATTCTATTTTAATTTCAGATTATCCCTTCTAAAGAATTGTGACAGTAGATTTAACCAAATGTTGTTCTTGTCCATTGAATTAACACTCTGGCAATCACCTCCTCCTCCTCCTCCCACTCCCACTCCTCCACCTCCTCCTCCCCCCCATGTTCTTTGTGGAATTATGGAACACAGATATAAACATACTCTTAGATACAATTCCTAGTTAAGTTGAGGAATATGCTAACAGAACATGTCATGATGATCAAAAATTTGGACAGCTTTTTGACAGATTAATAATGGTTAAGTCTACCCTAAGTATGAGCTTGCTCATATCTTGCACTCCTTGGAGGCATCTGGATGGCAGCCACTATGGGATCAAAATGCTGGGGGGGGGGGGAAATGGCCCTTTCCTCTAATCCAACACAGTTCTTGTTGGCTTGTATTTGGATCCCACTTCTGAAGTCCCTTAAGTATTTCCTTTGCTGTTAGGAAACAGGATGCTGGGCTAGATGGACCCTTGATCTGATCTAAGGGAATCCTTCATGGTTGGATTTTACATCATGGGGAAACCCTGATCCAAGTCAGTTATTACATCCCTCTTTGTTCTTCTTTTCCTATAGTGAAGCTAGGTGGAATGAATGGAGCTCGTGGAGTGCGTGCTCTGTCTCCTGCACTGAAGGTGTGCAGCGACGCAGTCGGGTGTGTTATGGCTCCCGTGCAGGGACATGTCCGAGGGATACACGTGAAAGGGAAATGAAATCCTGCCTCCTGAAAGAGTGTTGTCCCGGTAAGCATCTTTCTCTACTCTTGATCTTTGTCCTAAGCATGAAGCTAGAAATGAGCCAGGGTCATTTCTTTATCCTTGCATGACCTTGAATTTTGAGATTTTGGAGTCTTATGAAGTAGGACTCTAAATTAGCTGGCCGTGTTACCTGTCCTAACCCCACCCACCACCACCACCCCCGCCATTTTGAGTGATATTTTGAGAATTTCCCCCTCCAAAGCACCACCTGAATACTTATTCATTTAGGCCGTCTTGCTTTTCCGCATTAAAAAAAACAACAACAGAAGTTGTGGGGGAGGTGTGTTTGTGACATCACAAGTGTTAGTTTGTCAGCACCAATCACAATCAACTTTTAATGCCATGTTCCAGAATATTTCCTTTTTTCCTTTTTGGCAGAATGTACCCTGTAAAGAAAAAGGTACATGTAAGTTGGATTCCATGAGGGTCCTTCCAAATTTAGGCACTGGAGGGATTTTTGTCTCTCGCCCACTTTAGTGGCAATGGCATCCTATCTGCCTAAAATTAGATTCTCACAGTAGCTGCAATTTTACATCCATGTATCTGGCAGCTAGTCCTACTGAGCAAAACCTGGGCTTGTTTCTGAGCAACTGGACTGGACACAGTCGAGCTTAGTTTCAAGCAGACCCACATCTCATCTCATTTATTTGAAATATAGGTAATCCTCAGTTAAGAACTCAAAACTGATAACTCTGTCACGAAGCAATGTGGTTGTAAAGCATAACGTCATGTGGACCACGCCAAAATTCAACAGTAATTGTGGCAATTTCAGGGGCCATCGTCAAATGAATTCCACGTGGTTATTAGGCGTGACATTACGTGATTTGCCGTTTGTGACCTGTTGCCAGCTTCCCCACCGACATTGCTTGCGGAAAGCTGGCAGAGAAAGTCACAAACGGCAATCACGTGACTGCTGGGATGCTGCAACTGTTGCAGTTGTGAACCAGTTGCAATCACTACTAGAGCCATGATCTTGTGACTAGGGGGTCACTGTGATGGTTGTGAGCACTGGTTGTAAGTCTTCCCGTTCAGCACCGTTGTAACTTCAAATAATCACTGAAGGAGGGGTTGTTAAATGAGGACTTAGATAAGGACTTAAATAAGCTTAAAACATTTTAGTTAGATCCATAAATAACAATAGCACTTAGACTTATATATCACCTCCATAGTGCTTTACAGCACTCTCTGGGCAGTTTACAGAGTCAGTGTATTGCCCCCAACATGAGTTCATTTTACCGACCTCGGAAGGATGGAAGGCTGAGTCAACCTTGAGCCCCGTCAGGATTGAACTCCCGGATGTGGGCAGAGTTAGCCTGTACTAGGGCATTCTAAGCACTGTGCCACTAGGGCTCTCAAAGAGATAGATAGTCAATGTCTGAGGCACCCACTTTCAGCAATAGTGGATAATACTGGCTTTGACAGAATTTCTATAGTTTATGAAATAAAGTTATTAATTAACTAGAAGGAAGAAAAACACCACAAGCATTCTTACTTCTTCAGGTCTTCAGCAATTATTTTGATGGGCAGAAAAACAGGAGACAAGTGGTGGTTTTGGTTGGAAGAGATAGCAGGCTAAATTGTTTTTAAAGAGAATTACAATAGACAATTGAAAGCAGGCAAACAACCTTTTTTGTTTTTGTTTTTCAAAAAATTCTATTGTTTTCCTTTAGTGCCTGTAATCAGAAAATTTAAAGGCAGATTTCTTTAATGATTTGTACAGCACGTTAGTGATTTTGTGTGGAACAATGATCCCATATTTCTGCATGTTTTGGTACAGCTCCAGAAAATAGTGGCTAATAAGCCCACAAATTACTGTTTCCTACATGATAACTTGTTTTGATACTTTCACTTCCTCATGTATGTAAGTCTTCGGGAATTCCCTCCTAAGGAAATGGGATTATGCAATTTAGAAATTCCCTTGGCTGATGGGTCTCCAGCATGCCTGAACCTTGACCCCCTCAGCTGTTCTTTCCTTCCAGTGATGGGTGCATGGACAGAATGGAGCGCCTGGCAACCTTGCTCAGTGACCTGTCTAACTGGGACCCAGATAAGGGAACGAACTTGCACCAATCCAGCCCCTATCTGTGGAGGCACCTGCTCAGGAGTCAGCAAAGAAACTAAGAGATGTGATACCCAGCAGATTTGCCCAAGTAAGTTGGGATAGAGAGGCAGTTTGGTGTAGTAGTTAAGGCATATGTTGGAAACTGGAAAACCGTACGTTCTAGGCCTGCCTTAGTTCCAAAGCCATCTAAGTCAGTTTTTTTCTCTTAGCCTTAGGAAGCAGTTAATGACAAACTACTTCTGAAATCTTGCCAAGAAAACTGTAGGGACTTGTTCAGGTGGTTTCCAGGAGTTGAAAGCGTGTGTGTGTGTACAAACACATACACACACTCACACACACACACAAACATTGGGGTAATTAAATACTTGAAGAACAATCTAAGGTGAAAAGCAGCGTGATGGAGAAAAGGGAAATGTTTATTAGAGATTATATTTCAATCTCTAATTTAGAGTGGGTAATCTGCTCTGCATACGGATTCACTGAAGCTCCCTTCTCAAATGTTACTGGATTTGGGCTGGGGAGCAACCAGTTGCTGAAGACTTGACAACAAACTGTATGGATTCCAGTTTCAACCCTGACTGAAGGCACTAGACAGGAAAAGGTTAATGAACAATTTCTTAATTATGCAAAATATCAGTGATCACTTGAGTTTTACTAGCAGATCAGTACAGAACAGCTTTATTTGAAGTTGTTGACAAAAGTCAAATTCCTCTTTAGAATTGTAAGATAAGACTCAACCAATAAACTTTACTTAGGGTCAAAAGACCTAAAAGCGATAAGGATACAGTTGGCAATTCCATAAGGAAGCTGTGTCATTTTTCTGGCCTGGCTCACAATCTCAGGATTTGCAGCAGAATTTCCTTCCAACCATGAATAGAAATTTTTGGTTTGTTAATTTTTAAAATGTTTCCACACTTCCTTTGCTATGGAAAGAAAGAAAGAAAGAAAGAAAGAAAGAAAGGAAGGAAGGAGGGAGGGAGGGAGGGAGGGAGGGGGAGGGGGGGAGGGAGGGAGGAAGGAAAGAAGGAAGATTTTGAGAATGGGGAGATAAAAGGCAATAAGAAGAGATAGAAAAAATATGAGTGTACTAAGACAGTAATTTCAACTCCTCTAACTTCAGCTCTCAGGATTTTGCAAAATGAATTTGACCCTTTTGGGAGGAACCAGCTAGGGAAACCTGAATTAAAAGAAATCTCAATGATAGATCAGTTTGATCAGATCAGGCAGGTCGAGGGGAAGAGACATACTGAGGCCTGACAGAAAGAAGAAGAAACGATGAACCCAAGATAGCAGAAACAAATATGACTGATATGAATTGTACTCCTGGTCTCTTCCACAAGTCTTTGACCCAGCATCCTTTGACTCTCATTCATGTTTTTCTTTTCAATGTAGCTCACGGAAACTGGGGCAACTGGGGACCTTGGCAGCACTGCTCCCATACTTGCACTATAGAAGGCTCAGCTGCAAAGCCTCAACAACTACGATTCCGCTTGTGTAACAACCCTCCACCTTCTATCAATCCTCGGGGCAAGGCATGTCCAGGAGGAAGCCAGGAGTCCCAAAGCTGCACAGGACTGCCCTTCTGTCCACGTAAGAGAAGGAAGCCACACTTTTAGTCAGGTGTAGCATTCCCACACTTAGCATTCTTAGGAAGATGCTCTTTCCCTTTATAGCAGGCCATAGGATCACCCTCTCAACAAAGGAGAAGAGCAGAGGCTGTGCTCCTTGGGGTCTTGGGCCAGCTAGTTCCAGATGAATAGACCCACTGGCCCGTTCGGATTTGCTCTTATTTTGAAACATGCTCATTTGGTCATCTTGATTTGGCTTGATGAGAGTTGCCCTCCAGGACACCTGGAAAGCGCCAGCTTCAGGAAAGAAGGTCCTGGTTACTTTTTAAGAGCAGGAAAGGTACAATATGCCAGTGATGGCGAACCTTTTAGAGACCGAGTGCCCCAAAACTGCCCCACCCCTTGCCCCGCCCACACACAGGGCCACTCACCGCCTCCACGGCCCATCGCCCAGGTGACCCAGCAGCCCCATGATGGCCACGCCCTCTGCACTCCATGCATCATCTGTGTGCGATAGGGTGTGAGGGCGGAGTCTTGCTCTGCTGCCTGGCTGCCCTGTGTTTGGCTGTGCTGCTCCACGTGGTCTGTGCCCGGGGGCGACTCTCCTCCAGGGAGGATTCTGGTGAGGATGGGGCTGTGGGGGGAGGTAGGGCTGGGGCGACAGCACGCGTGCCACAGAGAGGGCTCTGAGTGCCACCTCTGGCACGTGTGCCACATGTTCGCCACCACTGCAATATGCTATTTATGGTGTGTCTTTGAACAAGCCTGTTATGAGGATCCGCCTCTTTTCTCTTCTGACTCCACCCCTGTTTTCTCCCACAGGGGATGGCAACTGGGGCAGCTGGAAACCATTCAAACCCTGCAGTGTGATCTGTGGGGTCGGCCAAACGGAGCAGAAGCGTCTGTGTGATAACCCTGCACCGAAGTACGGAGGGCAGAATTGCCTTGGGGAGGACATACGTAAGCAACCCTGCACTGTCAGGGTGCCCTGCCCAGGTAATGGGGAAAATTAAGAAGTTGAAGGAATAAGTAGAGACTGTGAGGGGTAATCCACAACCTGAAGACAGAGAGCTGCTTCTAAGGTAGCTGAATCCAGTGAGATGCTCCCCACCCTACAAGTTATACAACTGTTCTATTCTAGAAAGCTTTACCTAAGTTGACTTTGGCATAAATTGGAACCTAAATTAGATGTGATTTCTGAAAAACTAAAAGATGGGGCAAGCTGAACACTGGAAAACAGGACTGATGGATTTAACAGGTTCTCTTGAGTCAGGACAACATTTTTTGCAACAGTCCTTGGTATTTCTGGGCAAGCAACATCAGGTATCTTCAGCAGAAGTGGCACTGCTATTCCTTCGCCCTTCTGGGTACACTGCCAGAGATACTGTAGGACCCCAGATATACGGGGAAGGATGATTTTGTTCCTGTAAAACTGTTGGTGGCTTTGGGCTTAGATTCTTCTCTCTCAGAGGATCTGGCTGGAGAACTGCCCTCCCCCCGACCTCAACCCTTTTCTGCACTGACCAGATCTTTTTTAAACATTTCCCATAGTGGATGGTTATTGGAAGGAATGGACTCCTTGGAAGCCGTGTAACTTTCATGACATTGATATTGACTGTAAGGACATTGCTGGCTCTCAGATAAGAACTAGGACCTGTACTGGACGGCACCATGAGGGCAAGCGTTGTGGGGGATTATTCAGCGAATCCAGGGCCTGCTACAATTTCGAAGGATGCAGGTGTGAGTATTGGGAATCAGAAGAGGTACAAAGAGATCTCATATCCCAAAGCAGTCTTCCCCAATCTGGTAGGCTCCAGGTGCCTGGCAATTACTAGTCTCATTTTGCCCAAAGAGCTCATTGTCTGGGAATTGAATTCCGGCACATCTGGAGAAGCGAGAAGGTGGCTTAATCTGTTTCTCTCTTACACAATCCTGAGAAAGTTCTAAGAAGTAACAGGGATTCCACTGAAACCTGTTCTGAATATTAAGATCCTCCTAATTCAGGTAGAATTTATCTTTTTTACCTTTTTGTGAGCATATTGATTATCTTCTGAAAAAGTTCAGGGCTCCAGTATTTTGTGCATTGACTGATGCAAATGGTGAGGTAAAAAAAAATGCAGAAAATGGAAAGAAAGAACCTTATAGAAGTAGGGATTAATTCTGAACGGCCCTTTCTGCATCTTTGCAGCAGAAGCTAACTGTAACACTCACTGACCGGTGTCCACAATGTCATTCTAAAAAACCTTCTACCTGCAGAATTTTGTAGTTAATATGGCATCAGAAAAAGATTATTTTTCAGTGACAGTTTCATCAGTAAATAACACAGTGCTTTTAAAACAGCAAAATGTGGATAAGGAGGAAGAATTGGTATAGGGCAGTGGTGGCGAACCTATGGCACGCGTGCCAGAGGCGGCACTCAGAGCTCTCTCTGTGGGCACACATGCCATGCCCCGGAGATGGCGAGGGACTGGCCCCCGCCGCCCTGGCCCCGCCCACCCAGTCTGCCATGACCACCGCGGCCACACCCACCTGGCACCCGGTGATAAATAAGTGGGTTTTGGGTTGCAGTTTGGGCACTGGGTCTCTAAAAGGTTCGCCATCACTGGTATAGGGTTTCCTGCCTGAGCAGGGGATTGGACTAGAAGTCCTCCAAGGTCCCTTCTGACTCTGTTATTTTGTTATTCTGTTATTGCTCGCCAAGCCAGCACTGTATTCAGTTAACTGCTCCTTTTGTTATTCATAACACAAACCTGGGAAGAAACTGCTCACCTCATGGCTGACAGACTTTCCATGACTTCCCTTTTTGTTGTTGTTAGTTGAGAAGTCGTGTCCATTCACAAATGTAGGGCGATTATGCCACCCTAATACTGTATACAGTATGTGTTTGGCATATAGCCCCCATCTAATTGCACAAGAAATTTGTGGTTGAGAGATAACAACTGGCCTAAAGTCTTTGGGTGCCTGTGTTTACGTGATACCTTTAGCTAGCTTACAAACCCAGAAGAAAAATTCAATAAGCTTGTTTACTATTAAACTGGATTAGATTTTTATGGGAGGTTTATTTTATTGGGCAAACATAACTCATGTGGTTGATTAATGCAAAGCCATAACGTTGCTTGATGTAGTATTCAAGTTACACATATCTGAACTTTATTACAGTGGCCCCCAACCTTTTGGGCACCAGGGACGAATTCCGTGGAGAAAGGTTTTTCCCCAGACCAGAGGGAGCTTGGTTTTGCAGGCTGCCTGCGTCCCATGGTTGGGGATTTGCTTGTTTGTGCGGCCTGATTTCTGGCATGCCACAGCCCAGTGCCAGTCCACAGACTGGGGGTTAGGGACCCCTGCTTTATGATAAGGCAGAGATTCCCATTCATGTCTTTCTGGGCCCAGCCTGAGATGTCTGTCATGGTCCTATAAGAGATAATGGTCAGTGGTGAAGGCTGCCTGGGATGAAGTCTTGCTGGTTTTGATTGGTGTGGTTTTTCTCAGTGCCGGGAGCCTGGACAGCTTGGAGTCCTTGGGGTCTCTGTGAGCCAGCCTGTGGACCTGAACCTAAAAGATCTCGCAAGAGAGTCTGCGCGCCCATCTACCCTGATTATTCGTAAGTCTGAAATTTGGAAGGAAGGAGGGTTGAAATAAGAACAGTTTCGGACAAAAGTTAGGACCGCACTGAAATTTTAACCTAGTTCTTAACTTTTGGGATTTGTGGGTACAACTCAGTCTACTTGGTTTCATGAAGTTAGTTCAATAACTGTCATTGCAATGGCCGTCTAGCACAGTGGTTCTCAACCTATGGGTCGCGACCCCATTTGGGGTCGATCGACCATTTCATGGGGGTCGCCAAGCAAGGCTGTCCACCATTTTTTTCCCTTTTCCGGCGGGTGCCTTACCTCCCTTGGGCTGGGCCAGCTGGTGGTCGGCCTGCTCTGTCTCTGCCGCTTGCCAGCTACGCCTCAGCCGGCGCAGGGGGCGGAACCACGCATGCGCGGTGCTCCCGAGCAGGGAAAGTCCTCGACTTACGACCGGTTGGGTAGTCCTCGACTTACGACCGGTTTAGTCCTCGACTTACGACCGGTTTAGTCCTCGACTTACGACCGGTTGGGGGTCGCGGCATTAAAAAGGTTGAGAACCACTGATCTAGCAGAACTTACAAGGAGATCCTGCTCACACCCTCATATGTATGAAGAGCACATTCCTGACTGGGGATTTCAGCATTCCTAAAAAAGTTCCCAAAGCAGCTTTTACTCCTTTGGAACCTTTCCAAGTGGTTGAGAACTGATGGGGATTGCAAGGCTCAGGATTTCCAATGTGCTGGAAGGTGCCATCTTAGAGAAGGCAAGTAAGAAGGAACATTTTGGGTGGGATCTGGCTTTTCTGCATCTCGTTCTGAAATATTTTCTTTTACTTTCAAAAGAACAAGGGAAGCCATAGTCTGGGGTGCCCTCCCTGCACCCCTTAAGTACTTTATCCAAATGTAAAGGATAATGCTATCATTTTCCCTGGGCTGAAGTATTACTGTACAGCAATCAGTTGCTAATTTGGGATTTTTTCTGTTGGTGGAAAAGGCTGCCTTCATAGTATCCAATTTCTTGGGCCAAACAAAAGGGTAGAACCTGGTAGGCTTCATGCTGAATATAAGGATTGCTACATCCTTTAACAGACTTCTGTTTCCCCTGTGGGACTTTAATAATTGCTGGACTTGCAGAAAGCAACCCCTCAATTTGGTTTCCAGGTCAGAGCTTCCTTTTTGGGCAGTGCAGCTCCCAATTCTGAATGAGAAGAGTCAGCCTGGCAGCCATTCTGGAGTCTTATTATGAGCACCACGTCTTGATCCAATCAGTTAAAAGCGAATCCCAACCAATTACAAAGGATTGTAGGTGTGACAACCAACCTCTACTCTGCCTCTCTGACAAGGGCAGCAGCTAAAGCTTTTTCTCAGAGATATGGTGAGGGACAGGTTAAGGCAGTGGTTCTCAACCTTTTTAATGCCGCGACCCCCAACCGGTCGTAAGTCGAGGACTAAACCGGTCGTAAGTCGAGGACTAAACTGGTCATAAGTCGAGGACTAAACCGGTCGTAAGTCGAGGACTACCCAACCGGTCGTAAGTCGAGGACTTCCCCTGCCCAGGAGCGCTGCGCCGGCCGAGGCATAGCTGGCAAGTGGCAGAGACGGAGCAGGCCGACTACCAGCTGGCCCAGCTCAAGGGAGGTAAGGCACCCGCCGGAAAAGGGGAAAAAAAATGGCGGGCAGCCTTGCTTGACGACCCCCGTGAAATGGTCGATCGACCCCAAATGGGGTCGCGACCCATAGGTTGAGAACCGCTGGGTTAAGGAAAGTATGGGTAGATTTCTTGCTGGTGGAAGAAGCCTTAACTTGTTGCTCTCCTGAACAACTTAGCCTTAACGGTAATCAGTTCCTGTGATAAATGATTTCTGAGTAAAGAGCAATTTCTGCAATCGCTCTTGGCATCTCTCAGTTCCTGTTGCTCCCTGTCCATTTCTCCCCTTCTCATTCATTTGCTTGCTTCTTTCCCAGAAAACATTGGCTGGGGATGCTCTGAGCTGGCTTTCTATACTTTGGGGCAGGAGTGCTTGGTGCCTGCTTGGTGATTTTCTTCTCTTCTTCTTTCTTTTTTACCTGTTGCCTTTCCATCTGTTTGGTCTCCTTGCTTTCCCCCACGGCTAGTGTCTCACCCTCCCTGATGTCACCGGAGCAGTGACATTTGAGTCCCGATGCTCAGAGCACAAAAATGAAACCAATACCAAAAAAAAATAAAAAAATGGCGAGTTGCCTGTGCAGCTTGAGCCAGAAACCATTTTTGTGCCCCAGGGCCAGCTCTGCCATGAGCCCCAATGAAACAGCAGCTGCTAGAAGGTGGGGAGCAGCAACAAATTGTTGGAAGGTAGGAGCAGATCTGACACACGGCCTACCTCTGGCTCAGGAGAAGACAATACCTCATGGCATGACAAAAGGTCAACTGCTCATCTAATCAGGTTCTGTAAATGGAAATAGGGTGCTTCTGTGTACCATCTTGCTCTGCCCCAGGCAGCCAGTGGGAGGATTGTGTGGGCTCTCTTGGTCTTCATCTGAGGGATGGGTGGTCTAGCATATCTGGTTAAAGCTGCCAAGAATGACATTCAGGTTTGGGGTGTCTGGGGAAGAGGTCTTTAACTTTGTCCCCATTAAATCCTGTCACTAGGCAAGATTAGGCCCCTTCCATTTTCTCAATGGTGCTGATCAAACTGCTCTTACCAGTTTCTTCTGTTAGTAGTGGAGATAGTAAATTTGAATCACGGGAGGGAGCTAAGACCTTGCAGGGAAAGACCATAGTAATCTCTGCCCTACAACCTATGGCATCCTTTAGAGTCAACCAACCATTGTCTTTTCAAAATAACAGTAACACAAACAGGCTTTATATCTGGCTTGGTGATATTACAAAGGCATTATAAGTTGCTGCTAGTGCATGAATGATGCTTTTATGTTCTGTTTCCTTAGCACTATCCTATTCCCAACAGCCCATCAAACTTTTTAAAAGGCTGGTTGGGATTCCAACTCTTTTTGGAAGAGGGTATTCAAAAAAAGCCAACTTTATGGGATTTTTGCCTGAGCAGCTTATTCTCTCTGGCGGGGTGGGAGGGGAGAGGGCCAGGAGTGATTGGATCACGGTAATGGGAAATTAAAGAGGTGATGGGTAAGGTCTCTGAGTGCCATATAAAACCTAGATATTACTCATATCTGTCCTAGACAAATAAGATTGGGGCACAAGGAAGAGAAAATGTACCATTCAATCTTTCTAGGATGTTGGCTCTGATTTTCTATTTTTTTTCTTTTCTCTTCCGGGCTGCAGGAAGGTGGTGACAGGAGAGAACGGGAAGCAGTACAACGCAACGTTTACGGGAAACCCAAATCCTCAATGTAAGCAACTGGAAGGACAAGACTTGGAAGTGGTGGAAGAAACACGGTGCCAAAATGTGCCTCCTTGTGAAGGTGAGGAGGTGACAGTGAGGTTCCCTCATGTGTGTGCCCATCTCAGGAGCCAGAGGGGAAATTGCACTCCGAATTCTGGGTTATCTTGGGAAGTGTCATGGACAAATCTGCAAGGGACCATCCTGTATTTAGGAATGTTTTGAAGTTGCTGGCATTTATCTGTGGTTATAGAGAGGATGCTGGTGTCAAGTATTAGATGTATTCCAAGTATTCCAAATACAATTTTTCTGCAAAAAAATGGAGGAAGGGGAAGGGAAGGTTCGATCATGCACACAAGAATGCTCCTGTTCTCCATTGGATTAGAATTTTGCAATCCTAAGTGTTAGATTCGCAGGTAAAAAGCATTGCGAGGAAACGAGTAGTGTAAACAGCAAGTCTTCTTTATTGATCACTCCAACAAAACAGCAACAGAAAAAATGGCGCGCAGGCCTTTTATAATGTCCTTGCACTGGACAGTGTCAGCCAATGAAAACCCGGCTGTTTTCGCGCCTTGTGCATGCGCGCAAGGCTGGAGACAGCCAGTCTGGTCCCGGGCAGCTTTTGGTCTGCCCAGGACCCTTTGCAACATTTCTGAGCCTGCTGAACGCTTCAGCAGGCTCAGGACATAACACCCCTCCCCCCTGGATGAAACAATAGTACCCTGATTGTTATAGCAGCACAGGTACATGTGTTCAATTGACTGGATGTTATTGTGAAGCACAATATGCCTGCACACAGGCAGAGCACTCTTACATTTGTAATTATACAAAAAAAAATACAACAAAATAATATGCTGAATATAACACTCCTTCACCTGAGTGTTTGTTCTGCCTCTTGTTTAAGAACTAGCAAGGTTCCCTTGACTTGACAGAAACCTCACATAGTCCTCAAGGTGTTTGGGTGGGTCCTTGGCCCGCTGTGACCTTCTTATGGGCGGTGTGTGTGCCTGGCCTGCCAGCTCGCCTGCCAGGCTAGGCAGACCAGGACTTTGGTGTCGCAAATAGCCAAGTGACCCACCCAGCTGCTGACTGGCTGGATCCTCTGAATCCAAGTCAGAGTTCCTTGGGGGGGTGGAATTCCCCAACTCCAGTGGTGGGCTGGAATTCCCCAAGTCCACAATGGACTCCTCTTGGGAGCACTATCCCTCGAGCCCAAGACCAGCAGCTGGCCTGAGTGGCTGACGGCCCCCGTGTATGTGCCGGAGGTGCCAGAGTCAGGAGCCGCCTCTATGGCCAACTCCCTTTCTGGAGACTCCCTGTCTGGAGCAATAGCTGAAGTATGTGAATGCCCCCATTCTGCAACTGGAACATGTGCGGCAGCGTGTGAGAAACCGCTGGAGCGGGGAGACTGTGGTCCAGAATTGTGATTACGGTCCTCCTCCCCCCCGAGAGCAGAGCCAGGAGCAGAAGTGTTGCTGGGAAGCCTCCAGCGCAGTTGGTCTATATGCCGTTGGATGATGCGCCCATCGTCCAAGGCCACTTCGTATAACAGCGGCCCAGAGACCTTGCATACCACTGCTGTGACCCAGAGATGTCCAAGACCATAGTTCCTTGCCCAGACCGGATCGCCCACCTGTAGTCTTCTAGGTGCCCGCGGCTGTGACACCTGTGAAGCCACCCGGTCTGGGTGCAACCTGTCCAGTTTGGTGATGAGGCGGCGACCCCAGAGGAGTTCTGCTGGGCTTTTTCCTGTGACTGTGCAAGGTGTGTTGTGTTGTGAAAGAAGGAAATCAGCTAACCTGTGATGCCAGCTGCCATACGTAATTCTCTTGAGAGCATCTTTGGTAGTGCGCACCATCCTCTCTGCCTGGCCATTGGAAGATGGGTGGAACGGTACTGAAGTTGCATGCCGGATCAAGTTGGCCTGTAGAAAATCCTGAAATTCAGAAGAAGTAAATTGGGGGCCGTTATCTGAGACCAGGACATCTGGAAATCCATGGGAGGCGAAGATTCCTCTCAACACCTGGATGGTCCTAGAAGTAGTAGTGGAGGAAACAGGCACAACCTCTAGCCACTTGGAATGGCTGTCAACGAGGAGAAGGAAGAATTGCCCCTGAAAGGGCCCAGTGTAATCTATATGTACCCTTGACCAAGGGGCTTGTGTTTCCTCCCACCTATGTACAGGGGCCTGAGGCATTTCAGGCCTTGACTGTTGGCACACTTGGCACCCATGCACCTGGGCCTTGATGGCTTTATCGAGCCCAGGCCACCAGAGATGGCTGCGCACAAGCGCTTTCATCCGGACGATACCCGGATGTCCCTCATGCAGAGAGATCAAGATTCTAGTCCTCAATGAGGCTGGAATGACTACCCTATTACCCCATAACAGGGACCCTTTGAATGTGGAAAGCTCTTGCTTCCTTTGCCAGAAGCTTTGAAACTCAGTATCTGGACACATGTCAGGCCATCCTGACAACACTCTTGTCAGCACATGTGTAAGCGTGTGATCAGTGGCAGTTTCTGCAGCCACGTCCCTAGCATTGAGGGGAGATTCAGGCAACTCCTGAATGGAGAGAATGTTAATAGCAGGAGCAGGATCTGCCTCTATCTGTTTTAGAGGTAATCTGCTGAGGCCATCTGCATGGCCCATTTCTTTTCCAGGTTTGTGAATCAGTGTGTAGTCACATGCTGACAGGAAAATTGACCATCTCAGCATTCTAGGAGATATTATGTGAGGGGTTTGCTTGTTTGTGGTAAACAAACCCAGCAGAGGCTTATGGTCTGTGTAGACTGTGAAGTGGCAGCCATATAAGAAATCATGAAATTTCTTTATGCCAGCCACTATGGCCAAGGCTTCTCTGTCAATCTGAGCGTAATTACGCTCTGCAGATGACAGAGTCCTTGAGTAGTAGGCCACAGGGACTTGTGTCCCATCAGCCTTCGGGTGACTAAGTACTGCTCCCACCCCATTAGGGGATGCATCACATGTGATGCACACAGGCAATTGCTCATTGAAATGCGCTAAAACCGCATTTGAAGAGAGCAAGGCCTTAACCTCATTGAAACTCCTCTCATGGACCCTTGCCAAGGAGCCTGTTTATCCAAGAGCCGGTGTAACGGCTCAGCCACTGCAGCCTTGTGGGGAAGGAATGCGTGATAGAAATTTAAGAGTCCCAGGAAAGCCTGAAGTTCGCTTTTGGACTTGGGACTTGGGGCCTGCTGAATTGCTTGAAGCTTAGATTCAGCAGGATGGATGCCTTGAGCATCAATTCTGAAGCCTAAGAATTCAGTGGAAGTGACTCCAATTTTACACTTATCTTGCTTCAGTTTCAGACCCGCTTGGCGGAAACAAAGCAAGACAGCCCTTAATCTTTCAGCTAAGTTTAGAGATGACTCCCCAGCAATGAGGACGTCATCGAAGTAGGGACAGACCCCAGGAATACCACGGAGCGTGCGCTCCATTACACTTTGGAAGATGCCAGGGGCTACATTAACCCCAAACTGCAGTCTTTTGACCTTAAAGGCTCCCCTGTGTGTTACAATTGTTTGAGCCTCAGCTGTTGCCTCATCAGCAGGTAACTGTTGGTAGGCCTGTGCCAAATCAAGTTTTGCAAAAATTCGCCCCCCTTGAGGGAGGCCAGAATGTGGCTCACCACAGGCACTGGATATGCATGCTGTTGCAGCGCTTTGTTCAGTGTACATTTATAGTGCGCACAAATTTGGACTTCTCCATTAGCCTTTAGAGGCATTACAATGGGGGTTTCCCATGGACTAGAGTTCACGGGTTCTAAGATGCCCTGCTGGAGTAGCTTGTCCAGCTCTGCATCAATTTTGCTTTTGAGAGCAAAAGGCACCCTTCTAGGCTTAATCCTAATGGTCTAAGTGTAGGGCAATGGGAGGCCCCTTGTATGAACCAAGCTCTGTGCTAAACACATCAGCAAACTCCTTGTAGACGTCTGCAAGGCCTAACGTTTGCAGGCTGTGAAGCCCAGTCACTTGGATCCCAAGGGCCTCGAACCAATCGAGTCCAATGAGACTCGTGCGATCACCCCCAACTACCACCACATCTAGTAGGCCTTCAAAAGCCCTGCGCTGCACCTTCAGTGTAGCCTCCCCCTTCACGCTGACTCTGGAATTCTGGAAGTCAGTGAGAATTAAGTTTGATGGCCTGAGTTTGACTCGAAGGCCACTACTGCTGCAAATCCTTTTGAAGGTGTCATGCGAAATGATCGATAGAGCGGACCCTGTGTCCAACTCCATTGATAAGGGAACCCCTTGTAACTTCATGTCAATGCAAAGTTTTTTCTTAAGGGGCTTGTGTGTCCCTGTCGTCAAAATACTCCTGCGCGATATGCAGAAACCCACCCTGTGTTGGCTGGGGACCCTGGTACCTTTCTGAAGCAATTCTTCCCGAGATTGGACCTTCTGGCGACCCAAACAGATGGAGGCAATGTGGCCTTGCCTTCCACATGCCTGGCAAATGGCAGAGCGGAATTGGCAGTCAGCGCGCTTGTGGCGTCCTCCACACCCGAAACATTGAGGAGATGCTGGGGCCTTGTATGGACACTCCTTCAGCTTTCTCTCCGCTGACTGGTGCAGCCTATCCACCTCCTCTTCAGGATTCTGTTCTGGATCTTCTCGAGCAACCTCTTGATGGACGGTCACGGTGGCTGGAGGGTTCCTGGCGAGCCGCAAGGCCTTCATAGTGCCGCCCACTGCTTCTTCAGCTGCAGCCTCTCTCAAGGCATCTTGCAACGAAACAACTTCCTTGGCAAAGATCTTCTGCTGTAGCTCACGACTCCTTAGGCCACAAACGAAACGATCCCACAGCCTCTCTTCCAGGTTCTTGAATTCACAAGGCCTCGCTGCTTGCTTTAAGGCAGCAATAAAGTCCGCAACAGACTGACCAGGCCTCTGGTCCCTCTGCTCGAACGCGTGTTGCCAAGCAATCAAGTCTGCATAAGACACTGACTCCAAAAGCGCCGGGGCCACCAGATTCTCTGCTATGTCAAATGTTTCCTGTCCACAGACACATAGCAGGGTAGCCACTTTAAGGCCGTCTTCTCTTATCTGATTGACTCTGAAGTAATTCTCCACCCGCGCCACGTACAAATTCCAGCGTTCCGGGTGGGAAATATCAAAGTCTGACAACCGGCCAATCTTAGACATCTTAGCCTTCTGCAACCCTCATTAATGCCATTGCTGCGAGCCTTGTATTTGGGAAGGGGTCCTTCTGCCAAGCTCACCTCCAGCGATGCTATACTGGCAGGTAGAGTTGCGATGCTAGACGCCGAACTTTCCCAGGCTTCAGGACTTCTTGGGTGAGTCCTATTTTCTTTTACTGTTTGTCTTGCTTGCAGCGATCCCACCTTTGTCGCCACTGTTAGATTCGCGGGTAAAAGGCATTGCGAGGAAACGAGTAGTGTAAACAGCAAGTCTTCTTTATTGATCACTCCAACAAAACAGCAACAGAAAAAATGGCGCGCAGGCCTTTTATAGTGTCCTTGCACCGGACAGCGTCAGCCAATGAAAACCCAGCTGTTTTTGCGCCTTGCGCATGCGCGCAAGGCTGGAGACAGCCAGTCTGGTCCCGGGCAGCTTTTGGTCTGCCCGGGACCCTTTGCAACATTTCTGAGCCTGCTGAACACTTCAGCAGGCTCAGGACATAACACTAAGGATTGTGAGATCTTTCTGGGCCCTCTGCCCAGATTTCTGGTTCCCATTTTACAATACAACTTGGGTGGCAGGTTAGTGATGAATGTAAAGGAAGCATTTGGGGGGGGGGGAGGAATCTTTATTCCTGCATCAAAAATTAAATCCTGTTAAAGAGTACAGTGTGGAATTCTGCATGAATTGCTCCAAAGCAGCAAGGACTTGATTCCTGGTTATTTAACAAAGGCATTTCCCCAATTCAGTATAAAGCTGCTAAAGTAGAAGACATTTAAGAAAACTGTTGCTTTTAATATAATACTCTGAATTCAAATGTGGCACTGAATAATCAAAGCAGGGCCAGCAGTTTATTAGACTTCCTGTTTACTCCAACTTCTTTTTTTTAAACTTTCTTGTAGATTGATTCTACAGAACTGGAGGCTATAAATTGTCCTGGAAATTCCTGCAAACCACAATATATGCAGCTGTGAGAAATGCTGACTGTGCTTCCTATGATTTTTGAACCCATCATCTGCTGCTTTTTTAATGATTAAATAATCATAGGGTAATACATTACATTGGACTTTTGTCTCTTCTATACACAGTAAAGAAGAAAAAATGCACATGTTCTGTGTTATGTTCCGTTTCAAATATAAGGCAAACTCAATTTTAAATATTTTTTAGCATGGCATCTATATTTACAGTTTAAGGTGTACAGTTCAGTGTGTGTTAAGCCAATGATCTCTCATTTAAGAGTTCCACAAGAGTTAAAGATATACTTTAGCAAAGGAATCAACTTGGCACCAGAATGTTTTACTTGTAGATACAATGAAAAAAGCAATGAACATATAGATGTGCTGAAAAATAGGCTAGTCAGTTTGCTTTAAAGCCATAAACATTTGTAAAACAAAAAATCTATTTTAGAGATTTCATTATTAAATTAATGGCATTGTCAGCTACTACCTCATGCTTGCTTGTGCTTTGCTGCTATGCAGTAACAGACTGCCATAAACTGTGGGGAGAGAGAACGAAGGGGAAAATGCTTGGGGAAACAAAAGTAAGTGCTGCATCTCCTTGAGATGCTGCCTCAAGGTCATCCAACTGGAAGGAAAGAGCCGCATACTAAACTGCACTTGGACTGTTACAAAAACATCTTGCCTGAACCTGATTGGTGATACTGGGGTGGGCAATGAGAGATAGTTAAGGGAGAGAAAAGTAGAACTTAGGGACTTTGGCATGTGATTCTCAGTTCTGGCTTTGCACTACTGCAACATACTTGGCCTGTAATAAAACTATATCTTTCTCAACAAACTGAGCCAAGGATTGTTTCTATTTAGAGGTTTAAGTTGTGGCAGGTCTGGCAGGCATGTTCTGCTGTTATGGAATACTTAGCCACACTCTCAGTTTGTCCTGGAGAAGTCAGATAATAATCTATTTGAGAAGTGTGTGTATGTGTGTGCATGTTTACCAACATACTTCCTCTTTCTCCACATATTATTGATCCTCCATGCAATCCCGAAGCCTGATTTGCAGCAGGCTAAATTTGCAGGGCTACGAAATGATAGAATGGAGTGCATTGCTTTAGACCGGATGGATGCTTTAAAAAAAGCTTGGCCAGATAAATAATAAAAAATAGTTCCAGGGAAAATAATTTAAGAACTTTTTTCCCCTCCCATGTTAGTTGTTTTTTTTTTAATGTTTATTTGTGGAGTTTGATAGGAAGCCTCAAGAAAATGGTGTTCTATCCTCGCCACAACCTCCCATCCCTTGCACATAGACACAGTTAAATACTACTTTATTGACATTCATGAATTACAAATAGGATAGATGTAGGTAGGTACATATAGGCAGAGAAACTACTCTCCAGTTTCTAGGCTGTGGAAGTTCCTCATCTGACTCTTCCCGTGTCAGAGGTTACTAGCGGTTTCCGATTCTCCAGGCATTGCTAGGTCAACCACAGTTTCCTCTTTCCAGTATTTTTTTGCAAGTCATCATGTGTTTTGTTCTAAAGATTTCCCCATCAGAGTGCATGTGTATGGGAGAAAGTAAGAATTCGCTTGCAAGTGAGAACAATTTGCACCTGCTGTATTGTTTCTACTTCATTACAGGTGGTCCTTGACTAACGGCCATAACGGAACCCAACATTTATGTTGCTAAGTGAGAAATTTGTCAAGTGAGTTTTGCCCCATTGAACCTTTCTTGCCACAGTCGTTAAGGGAATCACTGCAGTTTTTAAATTAGTAACACCGTTGTTAAGTGAATCTGGCTTTCCCCATTGACTCTGTCAGAATGCCTCAAAAGCTGATCACGTGACCCTGGGACACTGCGACCGTCATAATTATGAACCGGTTGCCAAGCTTCCAAATGTAAATCACATGAGCATGGGGGTGTTGCAATGGTCATAAGTGTAAAAAATGGTCATAAGCTGCTTTTTTCAGTGCCATTGAACGGTCACTATACGAACTGTTGTAAGTTGAAGACTATCTGTACTATTAGCCCGGACATGCCTCTTACACATATCCTGACACCACGCACACTGCTATCATTCTTTGATGGATGATTGCTATGACAGGTAGGATCTGCAAGAAAATGTGCTAGGTTCCAGATAGCCATGCCATTTTCTTTTTCTAGGAAACTCCATTTCATTTCCTCCAGTTTTCTGTTCCCCTCTTTCTGATGTTCCTGGACCATGATTGTGTTTGGTTAATATTATTGGGCTCGGTTTGTCTTCTCCTCCTTAGGCTGAGGTTTTTCTTTGACTCCTAAATCCCCTTCTTCTGCTGGGAGGATGTTATTTTCACTCCCAAAGGATTCTGAGATGACTATTGGTATAGAAAAGGATTTCTCAAACCTGGCAACTTTAATGACGGCTGGGAAAATTTGGAGATTCAGATCCACACATCTTAAAGCCGAAAAACATTGGTAGAGACAGCAACGAAATGGACCTTAGTATATAAAGGTATACCCAAGCACCACATGGCAAGGACAAAGAATGTCATCTCTTGCCTGTTGTGAGGCATACGGCTGGTTTTTACTGGAACCAAAATGCTGAACTAGAAGATTGCTCACCTGTGGAGATTAGCAAGACAATTCTCTATTTTGAGGGGAGCTTTCACATACATGGATTTTTAAAGTCAGGGATGCAGCTACCACCAAGATGCCTAAGCCAGGTTTAGGGTGTAGGAACAGAGTAGGCTACCAAGATACAAAAAAAAAAAAGGGGAAGAAGTGAGCATGATTTTGGGGCCCAGTCCTAAGAAGGACGGGCTGCTTCAGGGGTAGAAGAAGACTCCCCCAGGCCAAGGACAATGACTACTAGACTATGAAAAGCTAGGTTAGAGATTCCTGTCTGCCTCTTTGATTGTCTGCTTGGGAGATGCTGCTCTGCTGAATGAAGCCGAGATGCTGGTGTTCCATGGACAAAGCCTTTGAGAGCGAGGAGAATTGGAGGTCACGTTGTTCTTCTGCTTGGCTGGGGAGAGCTAGGGAGAAAGGGAAATAGGTTAGTTGGGAAACCTTGACTTCTGGTTTCATTTATCTAAGATTACATCTATCCTGGATTAATCTGAAGTCCGGTTATCAGCCACTGATGGGAATGAGGAGTTCATTACGTGTTGCAGCATCAATGGGAAGGCCATGGTTCCACATCCTCTTTTCTAAATGTCCTCTTTCCCGCTTGCTTCCTCCTCTGATCTCTAAAAACGGATCAGTCAAGTACATGGTCCTTGACTCTAATACGGTGAAAGACACAGTAGTTCTGCTGAGGGATGGCTCTTTCTGACTTAAGTGATCTTGACTGCTATCTAAACCCAGAAACTCCATGGAGTGGGGTTTGCTCTTTGTTTAGGGCAGTGGTTCTCAACCTTTTTAATGCCGCGACCCCAACCGATCGTAAGTCGAGGACTAAACCGGTCATAAGTCGAGGACTAAACCGGTCGTAAGTCGAGGACTAAACCGGTCATAAGTCGAGGACTACCCAACCGGTCGTAAGTTGAGGACTTTCCCTGCCCAGGAGCGCCGCGCATGCGTGGTTCCGCCCCCTGCGCCGGCCGAGGCGTAGCTGGCAAGTGGCAGAGACAGAGCAGGCCGACCACCAGCTGGCCCAGCTCAAGGGAGGTAAGGCACCTGCTGGAAAAGGAGAAAAAAATAGCGGACAAAAAAAATGGCGGACAAAAAAAATGGCGGACAGCCTTGCTTGGCGACCCCTGTGAAATGGTCGATCGACCCCAAATGGGGTCCCGACCCACAGGTTGAGAACCACTGGTTTAGGGATCTATCAAAGAGATCTTTGGTAGATGCTCTTCTCTGAACAATCAAGAAATTTCCAAGGAGAAAACAACACCAACAGGGCAAGGTACTGTATATAAACAGAAAAGAAATCCCATTCCTTTCTAGCACTGAAGATGCTACCTAGTCTGGTAACAAAACGTCTATAAACGAACAACCACGCTCAGAGAGCACCGAGGACTCCCCAACAAGAAAGGTGAACTTGATGGATATAGATAGTCCTTGTCTTACAACCACAACTGAGGCCAAAGCTTCTGCTGCTAAGCAAGATAGTTAAGTGGGTTTCGCCCCATTTTATGACCTTGCTTGCTGCGGTTGTAAAGTGAATCAAATTGCAGTTACTAAGTTAGTAACCCAGTTGTTATATGAATCTGGCTTCCCTACTGACTTTGCTTCTCAGAAGGATGCAAAAGTTGATCACGTGACCCCGGGGACACTGCGACCGTCATAAATGCATCCCAGATGCGAAGCGTCCGAATTTCGATCACATGACCATGAGGGGGGGGATGCTGTAGCAGTCACAAGTGTGGAAAACGGTCACAAGTGACTTTTTTCAGTCAGTGCCATTGTAACTTTGAATGGTCACTAAACAAATGGTTATAAGATGAGGACCATCAGTCTATGCAAGAAGGGTAATCTAGGCAGAAGGTAAGTGGTTTATAGATTCAGCAATAGGCCGACTCTGTAAACCGCTTAGAGAGTGCTGTAAAGCTCGATGAAGCGGTATATAAGTCTAAGTGCTGTTGCTGTTGTTAAAAGGGGCCGAAATATTTTTTTTTCCAGTCCAGAAAAAAGAGGCAACTTTTGGAAGTCAGGCAAATACCAGACGCCTCCTTAATTCACTGAACTATAAGGAGGGGTATACAAGTAGTCCTCGAACTTACAACAGTTCATTTAGTGACTGTTCAACGTTACAACGGCCCTGAAAAATGACTTATTACCATTTTTCACAGTGACGACCTTTGCAGCACCCCCAGAGTCACGTGATCAGAATTCAGACGTGTGGCAACCGGTTCGTACTTACAACTGTTGCTGTGTCCCAAGGTCACGTGATCAGCCTTTGCGACCTTCTGACCAGCAATGTCAATGGGGGGGGGGGAAGCCAAAAGATCGCAAAGTGGGGCAAAACTCGCTTAACCAATGTCTCACTGAACAAGAGAAATTTTGGGCTCAATTGTGGTCTTAAGTCGAGGACTTGCAAGATTTGGTGATCCGAGGGCTCAAAGTCACAACAGTGCAGGATGAGGAGGGGGACTCATGAAAGTCCTTGTAGTTGCAGCCGTGGTAGCATCTCTGCTGTCTAGTGATCGCAACTCAAGTGCTCGGCAACCAAAAATGCCCCAGCCGTCCCCACCAGAGACGGCTCTTCCCCAGTCCCTTTGCAGGGTGGGAACTCCCAGTCGGTAAAGGAGACGTGGTCTCGCAGGGCTCAAAGGAACGGAAAGGAAGCGGGAGTGGGGAAACGGGAAGAGACTTACTGGGGAACTGGGACTTGGCGGCGCCTCCGGGCAGCTCCGACGCGGGGCACAGGTGATGACCGACGGTCGCATCTGAAAAGCAAGCCAGAGAAGGACGTGAGGAGTCAGAAAGAGCGGTGCAAAAAAAAAAAGGGGGGGGCACTGAGCCGACTTACCTGCTGCAGCTGGGCGACTGTGAGGGTGGGCTCTGAGAGGGGCGCCCTTGGGGGGCGTTTCTGTGCACAGGAGGGGAGAAGCCCCCGGGAATCCCTGCAAGCAACAGCGCTGGAAGTGGAGACGCAGGACACGGCAATGGGGGCCACGGGGACGGCTGCAGGAGGGGCCACCTGCTCCAGAGAGCTGGAGAGGGAGAGAGAGAGAGAGACTCACAGAAACTGTCACTCATCGGCAGGGAGGCTTTCTAGGCTTCACCGAGCTGGATTAATTGCATCTTTCCCATAGCCCCCCTTTCTCCCCACCCTTCCAAACTCAGAGGAAGGGTGATTGCAAGAGAGAAAAATAAGCAAATCGATTAAGCTTTTTCCAACCGGGATTGCTCCGGAAATG